GAATCAGAGAGAGGGGACGGGGCTGTCACTGCTGTCCCAGCCACATTCCAGCGCGGTGCTCCTGGCCATGCTGGCCGCAGGAATTGTGGAATTGTGCAGGAATTGTGGCTGGCAGCCCTGAAGGTAGGGCAGGGCTGAGCAGGGGGCACACAGAGCATGCCGGGTCTGTCTGTCTGTGTGTCTGTCTGTCTGGGCATTCTCCCAGGTGCTGGGTGACCCCTGTGGATCGTGTGTCAGGACTGGAATAGCCCCTGTCTGCAGGGATATTTATAAACCCGGGGTTAGTTTTATGGGATGGGGCTTGTCATGGCCTCAGTGGGATCAGGGATTTTTCCCTCCCGAGCTCAGTTTCCCCAGCTGGGACTGTCAGTGACAGCCCACCCTGCTGCAGGAGACACCAGGCAGTTTTCCCTTCCCACCCAGCACTGATGGGGCTTTAGCTGGCACTGCATCCACCCCACACTGCCCTTCCTGCTCAGGACTGGGCTGGAGTCTCATGGGCAGGCTGGGGCACAGAAATTCCCTCCTATCAGTGTCAGCAGAGGAGAAAGGCACCAGATTAAATTCACTTCCAGGGCTTTCAAGGTATTTTTTAACCCCTGACAGCTCCTGAGGAATGTGTTCAGTTGTAGCTGAGCATCCCCAGCACAGCCTGGGTGCTGTCTCCCTGTTTCTGCAGGGTTCTGGCCAACAGTGCCTTTATCCCTGCACCCACTGATGTTTGCAGAGCCCCACATTTGCACAGAGTGGGGAAATCCAGGATGCCACACACTGGGAGGTGATGGCTGCAGCCAAGTGGAGGCAGTGCTGATGTTCTCAGGTAGGCTGAGATTTTCCTGGGCTGGGCAGGCAGGTGGGCACGGGGTGCTGAGTGCCCTGGTAGTGGCAGCACAGGCAGGGATCAGGCAGGAGCTGCTGGGTGTGGGTGATGTGGCAGTTCCTGTGTGATTTAAGGGCTGCCACAGCCCCATGTGGTACCTGAGGCAGGAGAGGTTGGGTTTTATGGGCTGGGTGAGGGTGCTTGGGAAGGGAACAAGCTCTTCCTCCCACTGGGATCACAGAATCACATGGTTTGGGTTGGAAGGGACCTTTAAATGTCATTTAGTTCGACTCCCAGCCATTGGCAGAGACACATTCCACTATCCCAGGCTGCTCCAAGCCCTGTCCAGCCTTGTCCTTGAACACCTCCAGGGATGGATGGGGCAGCCAGAGCTTCTTTGGGAACCCGTGCCAGGGCCCCAGCACCCTCATTGTACAAAATGCCTCCCCAATATCCCATCTGCTCTCTGGCAGGGTGAGCCAGCCCTGTCACTCCATTCCCAGCTCTCTGGAGCCCCTTTAGGCACTGCAAGGAGCTCCAAGCTCTCCCTGGAGCCTTGTCCAGGCTGAGCACCCCCAGCTCTCCCAGCCTGGCTCCAGGGCAGAGCAGCTCCAGCCCCTGGAGCATCTCCAAGGCCTCCTGTGGGCTCACTCCAACAGCTCCAGGTCCCTCCTGTGCTGGGGTCCAGAGCTGGATGCAGTGCTCCAGGTGGGGCTCACCAGAGCAGAGCAGAGGGGCAGAATCACC